TAGAAATGTTTATGGGGGATCTAAATAGCTTGGCTTGGTGTTTGTCTACTGACACTTTAGCGAGATCCTATAGGAGCAGTGGGGGGGTTTGGAGCCCACAACGTCTATTTATAAACTCCGTAATTGTATCTCTCATATACTTGTATGAGCTCAAGGACTAGAATATAACCACACTGGACATGTGTGGCTTGAGGCAAGGGGTTGCTGTAAATACCCCACAATAAAAAAAGGGATGCTAAAATAGTTTAATCATCTGGCTGCTAATTTGACAAAGGATCATGAAAACCTTTGTAGTCACCCATGCTGTAAGTCCTGCGCTTAAATGTTGATGCATTGAGGAAACGGGGAAATATTTCAGATGAGTGTACAATTTTGTTACAACATTCTATAAACCAGCCTTCACCAATAATAAATCCACATCAAATCCTCAAAAGAAGACTTGGTCAGAAAAAAACTACCTTAAATTAATTGTCTATATTATGCAGGATTTATCTTTTTTTTTTTTCTTTTTCTTTTTTCCTTAATTTGTGTATTTTACTCTTTCTTAATCGCCTTAATGCAAGTGACAATAAATTTTAATGTATACCCAAGACACAAAAATCTTAACTATAACACTGGAGCGCCTCTATAAATAAGATGGAAACCCTGCATGTGTTTGCAAATGGTATTTAGTAGGCATGGGGGTGTCGTATGCTTTTTATGGAGAACCCTTGCAAGCCAACATTTTGCTTCTTTGTAAATTTTCATGTTTGTGCATGGGATTAAATTATTGTCATAATGTAAAAAAAACAAACCAAACTTTGTGGCATTTTGCGCTTTGCATGTATCTACGTTTTGAATGAGAGTGTTGCGTCTTGTGTTTGGGTTTTATTGTGAATCCCGCAGTGTGGCTCTGAGCACCTGAAAGGGTTAATCTTCATTGTTATTGTTGTCAGTTTTGTCCCCGCCTTGTTCTGCTGCACACACTGGCACACATACATATACACAGACCAGCTTTACTGGTCTTCACGCTTATTTCCTATCCTGTGCATGTGTGTTGTTTTTGTGGGGTTTTTTGTTTTTGTTTCTTTGATATCTGTTAACTATAATTGACCCCCTTCTCTTTTTTTTTTTTCCAAGGGATATTTGTCTTTTGTTTGCTAGAATAATGGGAAGGGGAAAGTGACAGGAATCTTTGTCCTTTTTGCTTCTATATGTTCAGCATATATTTCACACTAGTGTAGTATGGAGACACATTGTTAGCTGGCTCTTAATAAAAAAAAAAAAAAAAAAACTGATTTATAAAATGTATTTTTTTTTTTTTTTTTTACAAAAAACCAGAAACCCTTTTTTCTTTCATTAGCTGACATGACTATTTTGAAGAGTAAGGAATTTGTGGTCTTCATGTTTGTGTATGCGATTGTAAACAAACTGTACATTCCTAAGCACTAGCTATGTTTTTTTCCCATTCTGATTATTAAGCAATCACGTCTGCACAAAGCTGCTAAACTGCAGACATGCTTGATTAGGACAAAGAGATCCCGTCAACAAGTCGCTGTAATCCCAGGTTGATGGATATCCCCAGTTTTCTGCATTTAAATACATACCTTGGTCTTTTTTTTTTTTTTTTTTTTTTTTTTTCTTTATCCTCTTTTGGGCAGTAAAAGCAGCTTGGCATATTTCATTGTCCTGTCTCTACATTGATCTGTGCATGAAGTAATTGATGTTGATTAAACTTGCATTTTTTTTTTTTCCCACTTTTTTTCTTTTTTCTTTAAAAAAAATGTAGATTGTGGTGTGTGGGTTTTTTTTTTCTTTTTTCTTTATACCATAGCTTATTAGCTTGCCTAAATGAGGTTGGTACAAACTGCAGTAGGACAAACTACTCCTGTTGGCTTCTGATACCTTTTTAGCAGTGTCCTGCCATGCCTGATGGCACTACAGGAAATCACAGAAGCATAAACAGGCCAGAAATGCAGGTAATCCACTCGGATATCTGAAAAGCAGGAGCATATGTCTAACTCCAAATGTTGGAAATAAATGTGATATGTTTACACTGTAGGCAATCACATTTATTTAAACTTTTTTTTTTTTTTTTTTTACAATACAATATATTTATATTTGTCATATAATGTAGTGCATTTAACTCATACCACCTATGTATGTTATGGCTGCTGCTAAATGCTTTATTTTTTGAAGCCATATTTAAGTCTGTTTGTATTGTCTTTCTGGTTTTGTGATGTCACTACCTAAACACAGATGTGATGTTTCCTGCTTTCTCCATACCAAACCTGCATTTAGTGAATGGCTTTTTTAAAACTAGCTGTTGTACAGACCATTTGTTATTTTTGAATTGAAAAAAGGACCAGATTTCCCTATTCACATATTTGATGTGGATGGGGGAATTCTTCCCGCTGAGTCTTTTCTGACAGCATGGAGCTTTATCCGCAGTCAGAATACAATGATCAGCGCTGCTGACTATAGCCGGTTGCAATGATTGATTGGGGAAAATCTAGATGTATAAAAGTCGATTGGTAGCCTCCCCATATGTGGATCAAAATTCAGCCATTCCTGCTGAACCAGTCGAATTTCGATCATGTATGACCACTTTTACATGCACAGCTAAAGGTGTACATCCCTCTGTTCATTCCTCAGATTTACTAGAGAAAACTTTACAATGCCAAAAAACCTTCACACCAGTCTGGTCAGAGAAGAGCTTATAATCTGCTGCCCCCTTTAAGTTATGCACACTAATGCAGTTTGGTCAGACTCATAAGCTGCTTAATGGCAAAACATTATTTAAAGTTTTGGATAGAATAGGAAATGATTAAAGTGATATTAAAGGCATCCCTCTGTACTGTCTGTCCTTATGTTGTAAAGCTCTGTGTAAACTGCTGGCACTATATAAATCTTATATTATAATAGAATTCTTTAAAGAGAAAAAAATGTCATACGCTGCTCCTCTGTTTAATGGTTTTGCACAGAGCAGCCCCGATCCTCCTCTTCTCAGGTTCCCCACTGGCACTCCTGGCCCCTCCCTCCTGCCAAGTGCCCCCACAGCAAGCAGCTTGCTATGGTGTTACCCCAGCAGGCTCACTCCTTTAGCTTCTCCTCTGCGTGTCCATTCACACACACACAACCCTGGCTCGGCCCTGCCCCTTCTCTCTCTTCATTGGCTCACTGGCTGCGATTGACAGCAGCAAGAACCAAAGAGAAGTGAGTCACCGGAGAGCTGAGGCTCTCGTGCACATCGCTGGATTGCAGTGGGGCTCAGGTAAGTATTAGGTGGGGGGGGCTGCTGCACACAGGTTTTTTTGCCTTCATGCATGAGGGTATAAAACCTTGAGCCTTTACAACCACGTTGATAGTGCTATTAAACCCAATAAAACAAATCTGTATTAAATTGTAGCTTGCTAATTGTTGCACGTGGTGGCTGCATTCGTTTTTTTTTTTTTTTCCTTTTTTTTTATTTTTGTGTGTGTTTTTTAATAGCATTTTACCCGCTCCTTCCTTTTTACTCCATATTATTTTTATTTTATTTTTTTTTGCTGTCTGTGTCCCATTTTCATTTTCTTACTTGACACAACAGGAAGGAAAAGGTAATTCACTTCTAGACAGTTCTCACTGGAACAAGTGTCCCCATTGGGAGATTTCAACTCTGTTCCTGTCCCATGGACAACTCAGAACTGTGACTTACCTCCTTGCTTTCAGCCCCAGCGAAAATGTTTTCCAGGACAAGCAGGATGGGTCTCCTTGCAGGTATAAAAACTGGACTCGTGGTTTAAACCAGTTTCTTAACCAGGGTTTCTGCCAAAGGTTGCTAGGGGTTCCTTGAGCAATTACTGCTTCTCAGAGAAGTTCCCACTGACAGCTTTTGATCTTTCTAGCTGTCTATAAGGGGGTAATTCTTCCCAGTGATCACACGTGTAAGGGGCATTCTTCCCACTGACCCTCACACAAGTATCATAAGTTGTAGATATAGTTATTTTTAGCAGGGGTTCTGTGAGACTGGAAAGTTTCATTTCAAGGGTTCCTCTGTTGAAACGGTTGAGAGTCTGGTTTACACCCTTCTCTACTCTATCCATACAAATGTTTAAAAATGACGTTTTAGACTCACGTGCACCTGTTGGGTGTTCTGCACACGGATGGTTTGGATCATACAGTTTAAAAAACAGGTGGTTTGGGGCCCCTGGGAGGCACAGCTGTAGCCCTCTGTCAGCAGCCTGTCCCCATCAATGACAGGCTGAAATACAATGGCTGGATGCTGTTCTGAGTCCAGAGATTCTGCATTTTAGGCATACAGCCATAATTGTGTATGGCCCTAAATGCGAGTACTGCTTGGAACAACATTGTACAGCCGCTGCATATTTCTGCCCGTCGTTGATTTTGACAGGCTACTAGCAGCGGGGGCTGTATGCTGCACCTGTGCCTCCGGTTGCCCAAAAACACTGGGATTTGACATTGACAGCCAATCCACCCATGTACATCAGGATGTTTTTGGGTTGTCATAGGAAACGTGAGCACCTAGAGGTAACCTACTCAGAATAAACCCCCTACAGATATCCTGCTTGATAAAGTGAATTCTGACATCAAAACAAAAATGCTAGTTTGTGTCAGGTTGATGTTTTTAAGTTGCATTCCCCCATCCTCTGGAACTCTCTACCCCAATTTATCAGACTATCGCCTACTCTGCTCACTTTTAGGCGATCTCTGAAAACCTATCTCTCCAGGGAAGTCTATCCTGCCCTCAGCTAATAATGGAATGTTCTATTAGTCCTACCAGTCCATCCCCCACAGTTATTACCTTTTGTATCACTAGCCCCTCCCTCTTAGATTGTAAGCTCTCAGGAGCAGGGCCCCTCCGAACCCTCTTGTATTGAGCTGTTTTGTTGCTGTATTGTCTCCTGGTTAGCAAACTGTTGGCGCCATATAAATCCTGTTTTATAATTTGTGAGAGGCTTGAAAATCAAAGGCTAAACAAACTTTTTTTTTTTTTTTTTTTTTTTTCCCTCTATATTTAGACTGCTCTCAGCACATTTTTCCAAGAATCTAATATCCCTAGTGCTCAACATCATCCACACATGGTGAGTCTGTCTTTTTATCTATTCCACTATTTACCACCCATGTCATCATTTTTGGAAACGTTTGAAGGGTTAATATGCTCGTGGAGGTCTCTGGCGTGGGTTGTCCCTAGTGTCAGGAATGTGTATTACAGAGCGGCTGTGTGATTCCAGTACTGTGCAACACATGTAAACACAGCTGAGCTGTGCGTGTAACCACCCAGCAAAATGGTCTCCAGGATAGTGTTTGTCTTAGGCTTAAGGGCGGTGATGTATATGTAGGATCATTTCCTTTTACATGTGTATGTATGTTGTACATTTTAGGAACCTGATTTTAGAAGACTTAATAGATGTGTAAAATACCTCCGCCTGATTCCCTTAAAGAAACCCTGTCACCAGCTAACTGAAAGCAGAAGGAAAGTCAGCTTTTTAACGACAGAAGAGACTACATATGTCAGCACTTGTGTACACTGAGCCATATAGCTCTGTGTATAATTTTGGCACAATTTGGCTTCAGGACAAGTAATTTTCCATGCGTGGGGTTTTATCATTTTGGTCCTGACCAGTCGAGCAGAAACCCTGGAGGAGGTGGAATTGCCAGCAATGGGGGAACACAGTCTTCACAGTGCTGGAGGGATCATTTATTTGCACATTTTAACTACAAGCTTGTAGGGGCCCAATTTAAAAAAAAAAAAAAAAAAAAAAAAAAATTTTTGGCAGGGTGTATTTCTGATTTAAAGTAAATTTAACATATTCTGCAAAAATAAAAAAAAACCTTAACACTTCATTTATGCCAGTGAGAAAAAAAAAATGCAGTACAGGCATATTTTATGTTTCATCCACAATCTCTTTAACCCATTTGCTGCTGTAACCTTTAAATTATTTTTGCTCACATGTTTAAAATACACATGAAGATCACTTAAACCCCCCAAACATATATTTTGAAAGCAGAGATGCTGTAGAATACATTTGTTGGGAGTTCCAATTTTTTATGTCACGTGATAACTGTACTACTGTTTGTTAAATCTAGATTTTCAATAAATACACTTTAATTTTAGTACACACAAACACAGTATACTACTCATTTGTTTGGTAAAATATATGACTAAAATGAGGTGAGCAAATAGATCACAAATATGGCATTCCTTTAAATTACTCCTACCCCAAAAATGGTGAAAATGACAGTACTCAAAATTGTTTATGGGGGACAATTAAGAGCCTTATCGATTTAGGTTCCATTCACGTGGGTGTAAATGCCAGTATAACATGAATGAGGGGTTTGTTTATGCGTGTGGAGCCCACCCAGAGCTGCTTGCCGGGAGCCAATGTTGGTGAACGGAGACACACTAGCTGTATGGAATATTCTGCACTGCTGACTGTGACCGGCATGCAGGGGTGGGTGCATGGACCCGAATGCACACTCTGTTTGGGCTTCACACCTGTCAAACTAGGCTGGACAGGCAAATCTGTACAGCCACTGCATTTCCATTTAATAAAATTGGCTGCCTGGATGCAGCAGGTGAAATATCAGAGTTGTTAAAGACTGCTCTTAGTCCGCACTAATGATCCTGCTGGCTCCCGATCCTGTGATTACTGTGACAGCCAATCACAATGGTTACAGGATTAGCTGATCCTTTGCACCCCAGGGGGAAGTCATACAGACCCTATTAAAGGGGTCTTAAACGTCCTTTTGCCATTTGTTTGTTGTAGCTGAGCCTGCCCCAGAATCTTTTGAGATTCAGGGTATTTTTGGCTCTGCCACTTTTAAGGAGGTCCTGTGCAGTGCTCCTCGAGGTAGGGATAGACATAAGAAAGAAAACAAAAAAAAACATTTTATTAGATTGGGAAAAGCTGTAAGATTTTTATTGCTGTCTGTCTTACTGTCCCCCCATTCCTCTAATTGCTTGCTCTGGGGTTACAAAGTTAAAAAGCAAGGGAGATATCTCAATGGAGATAAGGGGAGCAATGAAAAGATAATATACCCGCTAACCCTTTCTCACTTTTTTAGAACAAAGGGTAGAATTTGGCTATAATAGGGCTTTATGAATATGAAGTGGTTGGACCATGTACCATCATTCCACAGCGAGGTTCTGGAGGTCTCCTATCCTGACTATAATCTCATGGAAGAATGTTTCCAGGACCAATGAAGTTATTTGGAAGCAAGGAGTGCAGAACTGGCCACCTAATACAGTACATGATGTTTAGATTTTAAATAAGTAAACCTGTCACTAGAGAATTGTAGGGGTTGGTCTCTGTGTGTATTCCTGCTGGTTTAAACGTTTCGTTAATGGTAGAGGTCAGAGGATAATAACCAGACTTGTTCTAGCTTACAGGACGTACGCACTTGCTCAGGTAACCACTTTGTACAACAGTAGTGAGCAGATGGCTAATCTAAATGCACAACACTTCAAACCTTGAGCTGGATGGGTTACTACACCTACTGACCTGCTCTGTCCAACCTTGATATATGCTGAAACACCTTACTGAACTCTGAGAAAATTGGGTGGGTGATTGTCCCACAAAGGTGTCATGATGTAACTGATAATGGTATTAACTTGTATGAAAATACATATTATTAGCATTGTAGAAGAAGTGGTGTAGGGTCGTTCTTGGCTTCAGATCATATGGCTTTTTTTTTTTTTTTTTTTTTTTTCTATTTGGTATTTTTGTAATCTGTATGATTACTCTACACAATGAAGATCAGCGTTGTGTTCATGTGCGGTAAGAGTTTTCCAGTTTGCAACTGTCACATGCCCTGGGAAACCATTGGTATCTGAACATAATGCTTTTAGCATCCTCTGCTCCTAGGCAACTAGATACTGCAGGACGCTAATCTGTGGAGCTGGGCAGAGATGAGCAGTGATGGATGGGAAGATTTGTGGTTAACCATGATGCTATGCAGACATGCGCTTCTCCTACATCAGCATTTTTTGATTAGGACTGTAAAGGGCAGAAAGGTTACCATTCCTTCTGCATTTGCACTACCTGATTAGATGTACTACAAGGGGTGTTGAAATGACTGGACCGCCTATGTTAGTTCCACCTGATTAGAGGAACTACAAGGGGTGTTGAGATGACTGGACCTCCTACATTAGTTCCACCTGGTTAGAAGAACTACAAGGAGTATTGAGGTGACTGTCGTCCTACATAGTGCTACCTGATGAGAAGATACTACAAGGGGTGTGGAAATGATTGGACCTCCTACGTTAGTTCCATCTGATTAGAAGAACTACAAGGGGTCTTGAGATGACTGGACCTCCTACATTAGTTCCACCTGGTTAGAAGAACTACAAGGAGTATTGAGGTGACTGTCGTCCTACATAGTGCTACCTAATGAGAAGATACTACAAGGGGTGTGGAGATGATTGGACCTCCTACATTAGTTCCACCTGATTAGTAGAACTACAAGGGAAATTGAGGTGACTATTTTTCGTACATAGAGCTACCTGATTAGAAGAACTACAAAGAGTTTTAAGGTGACTGAATCTCTTACATTTTTACTACCAGATTAGAAGAACCACAAAGGGTGTTGAGGTGACTGGACCTCTTATATTTGCATTACATAATTAGAAAATCTAGAAGGGGCATTGAGGTGACTGTTCCGTCTACATTTGCACTGTTTGATAAGAAGTAGTGCAAGGGATGTTGCGGTGACTATTCCTCCTACATTAGCGCTACCTGATTAAAGGCACTACTGGGGGTATTGAAGTGACTACTATCCATCACTTCTGAATAGACCTACAAGGGGCATTGAGGTGACTGTTCCTCTTACACTAGCACTTGTTCCACTTACATTAGCACTATCTGATTAGAAGAATTACAGGACTATTTCTAGTTCTTACTTTATTTGTAGGCATCGTTCCTAAAATTTTTAAAACCTTGTGTGGAGTTTGCTGCTTTTTTCCAATGCAGGTGAACTTTCTTGTATTATCTTCAGGGCTTTTGTTTAACCATTAGCCGCCCGGCCAATGGCCGTTTGGCAGCTTCAAATGCGCTCCTGTATTCCGGGTGCACGCCATTTGGCGTGCTCCCGCACATGCGCAGTTTGCGGCACAGCAGAGCGGCGCAGCAGTGCGATCTGTCACGGGCCGTGCACCTCGGACACGGCCGATGACAGATCCGAGTACCGGCTCCCGTAGCTGGTACCATGTGACCTGCTGTGACCAATCACAGCAGGTCACATGATAGTTGTATACAATGGATGGCTTCATTCATGATGCCATCCATTGTATACTAGTGCCTAGCTGTGAATGGTCACAGCAGGTCACATGCACATGTCATGTGATTAGCTGTGACCAAATCACACTAAGCACAAAAAAAAAAAAAAAAAAAAAAGCTGAATGAATTGATTTCATTCAGCTAAATGCTTGCTTATAGCAAAGTAATTCTTTGCTATAAGCAAACTGTGTAAAAAAAAAAAAAAAAAAAATACTGATCACTCCCCCAAAGTAGTACAGTGTTACTATGGTAACATTGTACTACTTTGGTCATAGTAAAATATGAAAAAAAATCTTTAAAAAAATTAAATATAATAAAAAAATTTAAAAAAAATTAAAAAATATATATATATATTTTTTTTTTTTCATACTGTCACCAGTCAGTGTCCATGTTCACCGCCATGCCAGTTATATGAAGACGCTGTACTGCACTGGTGACAGTATGTAAAAAAAAAAAAAAAAATAGTGAAAATAATTTTTTTAATTTTTTTCATTTTCCGAAAAATTATGACAAAAAAATACAACTTCAAAAAACTCGCCATGCCTCTTATGAAGTACGTCGGACTGTCTACTTTGCAAAAAGGGGTCATTTGGGGGATATCTGTACTATTCTGACATTCTTGGACCTCAAGAAATTAGATTGGCTGTCAGTACTTCAGGATTGATCAATATTCAGATCTATACCATAGTTTGTGAACTCTATAACTTTCCTACAAACTAAAAAATACATCCTAATTTGGGTTATTTTCACCAAAGACATGTAGCAGAATACATCTCGGCCTAAATTTATGAAGAACAATTATTTAT